CTTAAAGTATCACAATTTAGCTGTCAGTGCAGACCTGAACCAGCATTCCGTCACACAGAATGGGTCCATGAAGTCTTCAGGTCATTTGTAGCTACAAGTGGCATAAGATCGCAGACATTGTTCTTCGTGGAGTTTGACTGGTCCTTGGAAATGTTAGGGGCAAGAAGAGCCATGGACACCACTTGTACTTACTGAAGTAATGATGGGATATAAATGGGGAGAACTGAAGTAATTTAAAATAATTGTCGGGGCAAGCATTGAGATGGGATTTGGATGCCCATATGAACCTGCTAGAGCTCTAAGATCTTCAGGAGAAGGTTTTCTCTTGGCTCCACCACCATCTCAGACTCGATTGGTGAGGACATGAGAGAGAGCCTTCTTCATGGCTGCTCCGAACCTCTAGAACGCCCTTCCTTGGGAGGCTAGGCTGGCCCCCTTTCTGCTTACCTTTTGCTGGCAAGCAAAAATGTTTTTATTTAGGCAGGCTTTTAAAAGTAATAACCATGACAGTATGGTTTTATATGAGGTGTGTGTTTCAGTTATGTTTTAATTTTTTATATTTTTAATGTTAATTATATATTGTTTTAATTAGACAATCTTAACCTTTTTTTTATTCTTTTACTGCAACTTTTTTTTTAAATGTTTTGTTCTGTAAAGAAAATTGTGAGTCACCTTGGGTCCCTTTTTTGGGAGAAAGGTGGCATAAAAGTGAAATAAATGAATAAATAAATAAATAATCCATACCAGGAACTTCCATTCCTACCTTTAAAGCCAATAGTTTTCTGTGTAGAGAAAAGGAAAACAAAATCTCATGCAGATCACAAAACCAAGCCTCAGAGAAGGCGTTTCTACAATAGGTATGGGCAGCTTTTCAGGAGCCGTGGGCCATTTCCCACTCCCCAAATCCACTGTGGGCCACACTGCCCCCAGTCCTTTAAAAAACTGTTTCTTTTAACAAAGGTGGGTGGGTGGAAAACCACCTTGTTTTGCATGAGTATGTTGCCCCTGGATGGTTTTGGGTACAGTAGACTTTGGAATGGCCTGCCGGGCAAGATCCGTCTTATTACTACTCTTGCTGCTTTTAAAAAAGCAGTAAAGACGGATCTCCTCCAGCAGGCCTTCCTGGAATAACTGTTGTCTGTTGGGAGATGAGTTTTTATCTGATTTTATTACTCCAATTCCTTGTTCTACTGTTTGTTTATTGTTGTATTTTATTGCTGTGTTTTAATTCCTTTTTCCAGTTTAATTCTGTTTTAAGGGGATGGGAGGGTGGGATTATGGGATGAGAGATGTTTTAACTTGTCAGTTTAAATATGCTGTAACCTGCCCCGATTGCTCTGCAGAGGGGGGGGGGCTATAAATAAAAATTATTATTATTATTATATTATTATTTCTGGCTCCCCAAATATTGGAAGCTACGATGAAAGTCACAATAATCACACTGGGGGTCTCATGTGGCTATTGGGCTACATGAATGCAACACCCGTTGTGCAGAAGGAGCAAAAGCTTCTGCTGTGCTGATAGTGGGTACAAAATCCTTGATCCGAGTTATAATAGATCCCAAAGTATTGCAATTCACACACTGGATGAGGCTCTAAGGTTGTCCAGTGCAACAGACACTTACTTGGGAGCACCTCCAAGTTGAGTTTGGTAGCACTTATTTTGAGGTGACGTGCCTAGACTTCAGCCATGAGCTGTCTTAAGCTCTATGCATCTCTCTTAAATAGTTTTGTGCTGCCATGCCTTCCTTCCCCTCTTCTCCTCCAGTTTTCCTTTTCACACCAGAGAAATAGTAGCGTCTTCTCTAATATCCTAGAGGTTGATTTACATATTAACTAATTGCCTCACAAGGCGCTTTAATATTCCTGAGCAAAAGGCACTGACACAGAGGTTCAAAGTATTATAGCCCTCATTTTCAAATAAATTAACAAGAAGAGCCTTCATCTTCCTTAATCCACAAGGGCCTACATATGTTTATCCCGTAGAAAGCCATGTTAAAAAAAGAAAAGAAAAAGCAAAACACTCCCAAAGGAAACCCCAGTGCCAATGATGAAGAAAATCATTGTGCCAGCTACTTTGGAAAGGAATGGGTTTTGAAACTGGCATTTGCTGGGGGGACGGGGGATGGGGACGGGGACAAAATCTATCTCTCCTCCTCCTGCCCCCACCCTGAGGGGCTGCATTTACACATTGAAAGTCTGTCTCAGTCCTTTCTCATTATCTCTGAGCTGCAAAGACAAGATCAGCAGAATCTCTCAGCAGGTCATTAGGCGGATGCTGGTGCAGGTCTGTGCTGGCAGCTGAACTCTGACAAAGAGTTAAAGAGTCGATCAAAATCCCTTCTGTATCATCTCCATTAGCTCATTATGTTTCCAGGACAAGGGAGGTGGCACTGTTTGGGGTGATCCAGCCTCATCCTGGCCTAGAAACACTCTCCACATTTATGTGCCGCTATTTGAGTGCTGTGTGTACACGTGTATGAATTAAAAGTTGCACACTCCCTAATTGATTAACTACATTAAGTACTCATGTGCATTCTTAGAGCAGCATTCTTTCCTCTGCCTCCCACCACCAAATGAATACAGCTTGTCTGACCAGCAGAGGGCAGTGTTGTTTAACTAATCAAAGAGGCTGCCTTGTGTGTATGTGGTCTGCCTGCCTAGATCCTGTTGGTGAGATTGAGTGAAAAAGAACTGCTAGTATGTAGAATAGAATAGAAAAAGAACTGCTAGTATTTAGCAGAGCCTGCAAAAGTACTTTTTTTTTTTTGGACAAGAACTTCTAGAATCCTCCAGCAAGCCTGACATGATGCCTGAGTGATTACTCCAAAGAAGCAATATTTCCAAGCTCTGTGTTGTGGCCATTTTAGAATGCATCATTAAATGAATACTAAGATACACCCCAAAATTCATGTAGAGAGCCGGTATGGTGTTGTGGTTTGAGCACCGGACTACAACTCTGGAGAGCAGGGTTCAATTCCCTCTGGGCCATGAAACCCACTGGGTGACCTTGGGCAAGTCACATGCTCTCAGCTTCAGGGGGAGGCAATGGCAAACTTTTCTGAACCAATCTTGCTAAGAAAATCCCATGATAGGTTGCCATAAGTCAGAAATGACTTGAAGGCTCACAACACACAGAGAAACATTATTTATGTGTGCATTTGAATGCAACACAGGCAACCTCACTGTGGTTTAGGGCACAATACTGCAACAGTGATCATGAAGTTACTTTTCTGGAATCATTGCCTATTGTCTTCAAGGGCAATGGGCCTGAGAGAGTTTCAATTGGGCAACCTATTTAATTTGTACATAATTAAGGCTGGTGGTGAGGCAGTGAATCCACTCCAAGTTATAGTTCGATTTTTAAAGGCACTGAATCTGTTTTGGGGATGGAGTTCAGCACCTTGGATAGTGTCGAACTAAAACTCAAAGTGGATTGCCAGCAGTTGTATAGCTGCCTATTAATGCAAGTTCTTTGGTCAGCTCCCAACACAACTGTAATGATTAAATATGGATTAAATAACTGGCACAGACTCACTGAATCAGGGGAAACATACCGTAAATAGTCAGACAGCACTTACATGAGTTCCATTCATTCAATGTGTCTACTCTTGTTGAGATTTACATGAGTTCTGCATTTGCACTGCAGAAATAATCCAAGTTGACACTACTTTAACTGTCATGGCTCAAAGCTGTGGAATTCTAGGAACTGTAACGTTGTGAGACATTTAGCCTACATGGTCACAGGGCTCTGGTGCTGCAACACATTACAGTCTCCAGGACTCCATAGCACTGAGCCACAGCAGTTAAAGTAGTGACAAACTGGATTATTTCAGCAGTATAGATGCAGCCCAAATGTGTCTACTCTTGTTGAAAATATCAACTGGGTTGAGGCCAATATAAGATATTAAAATTATCATCAGGACTAAAACACAGTGAGACCATAAAATGTGAGACACAAGAAAAGGCTGGATAAATGGAAACCAACCTGTGGTGCTCAGAAGACCATGCAGGCTGCCCCAGATGAGCCTCTTTAGGGAAGGTGGTCCAGAATCAGTGTGCCACCACTGAAAAGGCCCTTCTGACTCCCTTCATGAAGAAGACACAGTTGGAGTGATGCCTCTGAAGAAGATGTCAAGGTTCAGGGAAGTATTTGTAAGGGAAGTTTTATTTTTGGGTAATTTGGGTGCCAAGCTTGACTGGTGGCTTCCTTGCCAGTGGAGTAGCTAATTTGCTCTGGGTTTTAGTCCAAAATTTAAAGTCACAAGATCTGTCATTCAAGGGCAGTGTCCTCTACCACTGCCCCTGAAAGCAGAGAGCTCACTTAGAGGGAACAGAGCACACTCACTCTGTCCTCTGAGAGCTTTGCTGTTCTATGCCAGTATTCATCACCTGAAGCAACAGCCTCACTTTGTCTAGTAGTGGAACAGGATCTGCTCCTGCCTCTTCCCTAATAATAATAAATAATAATTACCCTCCTGCCTCTCTTCTTCCATTTTTGACTGGCATTACTCTTCATGTTAGAGGTACCATTTCATATTGCTGTTCGGTCAAGTACCTTTCCTTTCTCCTGCTCCTATTTCTGCTCTGTAAGGATCCAAGCCCTCCTTTGATTCCTCCTAAGGGACAAATGGGCCAAAATACACTAAAGGCATCAGGTTCTGTTGTCTGATCTTGGAAACTAAGCAGGGTCAGCCCTGGTTAGTACTTGGATGGGAGCCCATCAATGAATACTAGGTGCTGTAGGCTATATTTCAGAGGAAGGAACTGGCAAAACCACCTTTAAAAGGCAGGAATATGGCTTCAGTGCTAGAGGGGGATTATTCAGCTTTAACAATCTTGATAACAGATTTTAAAAACACACACCAAGAGATTCACAAAGCAGCAAGGGGTGACTGGAGGAGGTGGTAACTGTGCTAATAACCCACCTGTTTATCTGTTGTTCTTACAGGACGTCTCCTCTTTCCTGTGAGGCATCTCCGTTAATAAAAAAAAAAAATGCCCTTGAAAGGCGGAAGTACTGAGCAGTGGAGTCCCATCACTGGCAATGAAGAAGATTCGTCTGCCAGTCCACTGGGGTCTACAGAGTGAAGAAAATTTTGTTCTTTACCTGATGCGCCAATATGTTTTGGAACAGCAATGTTGAGTTGGTAAAGATGGATTTGATTGGTACTATTTCAGATGGGAATGGTGAGGACTCAGTCTACATGCTCCTCTATCTGTGAGAACAATCTCATAGGAGCTTTGTGATGTGTTCTTTTAATTCCACTAGACAGTAAGCAATATGTGGTAGCTAACAGATATTAAAATCCACATAATACAAGCACAGCAAAACCTATTCAGGAAAGCCAGGGAACCCACTCATCCTCCTCCAGCCTATTCTAACCTGAATGGGTCACTAGGTGAAGTCGGGCAGAGATGTATGCTACTGGGAACTCCTTAGTGACAATTATTTTTCACTGCAAGGACTAAAAACTTAGCTCTAAAAAACAAGTCCTGGAAACTGAATTTTGTAGCAAGTACCATTTCCTGCAATTTCCTGCCCTATATGATCCATGGTTCTCTAATTTGCACTTAATTTAGAACTGGCACTACTTAGAATAAGGATGGAGAGATCCTACAAAAATGGTTGAAAAATATATTTCTTGAGTGTTGGGAAACCCTGGCAAGGAGAATCCTGGATGGATGAAAATCTTCCCAGGTTAAGATTTATGCTGTGTAAAATTAGCATATAGATTTTTTTCATATAAAACAGGATTTTTTTTGCATAGAAAGCATACTATTTTCTGCATAGAAAATGCTGTTTTCTGTGCAAAAATCCATGTGTGAATTGTGCATAAACAAGGCTTCAACTACAGCATTTTCCATGCAGGAAACAGCATTCCCTGTGCAAAAATGCAATTTTCTGCACAAAAAAGCATGTGAATTTTGTGTGGAGTAAGTTCCAAGTCCGGGAATAGTCTTCAAAAATGTGCAAGCAGTCTTCAAAATGTACATTTTTGAAGACTTTCTCTGAGCAGAAAGAAAATGACTAAAATTACTTCTTTCTTTGTTCCAGAATGAAATGAGCAAGGCATTACCTCTCTAGCTTCAAAAGCCTTAAATACAAAGGGGCTTACTCACCTTTGCAAACCCCAAAGAATATAAAGGAAGAAGAGGTCAGAAGAAAACCTTAGAAAAAGCCCTTCTCCTTGTCTTTGGTTAGCTTATCTCAAATGGAAAAGGAATTTAAGGGCGGGCCTCTTTCTCCATAGATCTCAAGGCTGAGAGAATCCTTGTGTGGCTAAGTACAACCACAGAGCAATTGCAATAGATGCTTTAGCTTGGGATTTTTTTTTTTTAAAAAAATAATTTTTCCTCCGCAACAAGAAAAAGGACATCTCTCCCCTTCATACAGGTGAAAGGCAATTTTCCAGCAGCGAAAATGACCTTGAAAGGAAGCCATCTGGATCTGTTGCAACAAGTCAGTGACAACTGGGTGCTTACCATGCAGAAAAAGGTAGTCTACTCAAGACAGTCCATTTCCTCAGGAAGGTAATATCATAATGTAAAATGATAGTAACTGAGTAGCACTATATGTGATGCCAGTAATAATAATAAAATGTATTTAGCAGGCTCTTAGCAAACAGTCATTTTAAAGAGATCCTCATTAGTTGGTTGCCCAGCGATTAGGCAAAGAGGGGCATAGACCAAGAAGGTAATCAATATCTACTAGCTTTGATTACTATTTGCTCTCTCCAGAGAGATAATATTTGACTTTGCCTCTCAGTAACCAAATGCTGGGGACTTGAAGGGGGGGGGGGTTAGTGAACTGAAATAACAAGCTCCTATTGGATCACAGTACAGGTGATCTGCATGGCCTCCTTATTTCACAAGGCCTCCGTTTTGAGGGTCAGAACTCCTTTCCTTCAGACGGAGTTGTTTGGGCCTCCTTGGTTCTTTGGAAAGCCATGCTGACCACTGTTTTCAACCTCTACATCTTTCTTCCAAGATTGCTTACATGATGCTTTGTTCAGAGGAGAGATCTCAAAGCAAGTAGCTGGGGCAGTGGTGCTTTTGCCTCAGAATAATAGAATAATAGTGATGGAAGAGACCACAAGGGACATCCAGTCCACCCCCTGCCGTGCAGAAATACACAACCAAAGCACTTTCAATAGATAGCCGTCCAGCCTCTGTTTAAAAACTCCCAAAGAAGGAGACTCCACTACACTCTGAGGGAACGTGTTCCACTGTTGAACAGCTCTTCCTGTCAGGAAGTTCCTCCTAATGCTTAAGTTGAATTTCTTTTCTTGTAACTTGCATCCATTGTTCCATGTCCTATTCTCTAGAGCAGCAGAAAACAAGCTTGCTCCAGCCTTAATATGACACCCCTTCAAATATTTAAACAGGGCTATCATATCACCTATTTATGTTCTCTTCTCCAAGCTAAACATAGACAGTTCCCTAAGTCTCCCCTCATAGGGCATAGGTTTTCAGATCCTTCACTATTTTGGTCACCCTCCTTTGGACACCCTGCAGCTTCTCAATGTCCTTTTTGAATTGTGGTGCCCAGAACTGGACACAGTATTCCAGGTGAGGCCTGACCAATGCAGAATAGAGTGGCACTATTACTTCTCTTGATCTAGACACTATACTTCTATTGATGCAGTCTAGAATCACATTCGCCTTTTTAGCTGCAGCATCACACTGTTGACTGATGTTCAACTTGTGGTCTACTAAGACTCCTAGATCCCTTTTACATGTACTGTTGTTAAGCCAGGTGTCCTCCATCCTATATCTATGAATTTCATTTCATTTCATTTTTACCTAACATTTTATTTACCTTACATTTCTCTATGTTGAAATTCATTTTATTAGTTTTGGCTCAGCTTTCTAATCTGTTAAGGTTATTTTGAATTTTAATCCTGCCCTCCTAGAAGAAGGAGAGCAGGTGGCATGGGTCTTCAGAAAAGCTGGCTGTTCTGGGAGGGTGCTGTTGTACAACTACAAA